TGCTGAACCAACATCAGAGCTCATTAAGCAGCTGACAGGAATGGGAAGAAGAAAAAATCAAAAGCAAATTTAATGGCTTTATGCACTGTGCTCCTCCAGTCATGCTCTATTTTCACATGCCTCCCTGCAGGTAAGAGTTTAGACATGCAATTCAAGCAAGTGATTGCTTTCAGTTCAAAGACAGGCCATTTACTGCCAAGACGGCCCTCCAGAATTGTGCTGAATTCAATTACACTTCCTTGCCTCAAGTTCAGCAACACTTTCTTAAACTCATTGCTTGCCTTCAGCACAATATCTTTGGTTATATCATCCTCCTCTACAGACTTAGTTCCATTTTTGCTGCTGAAAGGCATGCCCACGGTTATTTCAAATTTGTACCGATCAAACATTTTCATGTGGCACTTATGCTTCGTCAGATACTTGAGACGACACAATTCCTCCTCCTCCGCAGTAACATTTTTGGGGTCGCAAAGAGGGTAGGTCTCGCCATACAAGCATCTCATCCAGTCCCCGATGAAGAGGGGCAGCATATTTATTGCAGATTCTGCACTGTTGTCGATTTCCGTAACGCGCACGTATTTGAACCGCCCCGTCCAAGTCACTCGGTGTCCTTCCAGGTGGCTGCACAGAATCTGAGTACGCGCCATGTTGGTCTCCTTCCACGACCGGGGCCCGCAGAGGAACGCGTACTGATTCCACGTCAAGGTGGAGTTGTAAACCTTCATCCCCTCTGATCGGTAGACATAGAACCAACAGAACAACACTACAGCTGTAATCCACACCAAAATGAGTTTCACAATTGAGCTCCGAGTGAGGGATTTAACCATTTCAACTACAGAGAAGTTAGCAAAAACGGAAGAGCAGAGGTACAGCACACAAAGCCAGAGAGACCACAATTTTCATGAGTTCCAGGGACACAAACCACTTAAAGAAATGGAAGAGACACATGAGGGCGATGCCTATGCCTAGCACGGGCAGCGCAAAGAGAAACAGGAAGTACCCAATGGAGGCGCGGATGAGCCCGATGCCGGAGGACTCCCGCAGAATGACCACAGAGAGCTCGCACCACATGAAGCACACCAGGTATGGGACCAGGTAGCAGTAAGTGCCTTTAAAATTCCGTAATTGGGCCATTCTGAAGAAAAGATAGAACAAGTACAGAAACAAAAGGCACGGGATGCTTACATTTATCACAAAGAAATGGCCTACGGGAAGGGTAAAGAAGGTTTTTCCTAAGAATTTCAAGTAGCTCAAATTCACAGGTAATACCTGCAGTAGGGATAAGCAACCAGCTGCTATCTCAGTTATTAGTGCTCTTCGTGTGTAGGGTTCTGCACATGTGCTTAAACTCATGTAACTTGTCACTGTGAAGAAAACAGAGATGGTAGCAAGCTCTGAGCATGGTATGCAGTCTCTGCTTGCTATGGGAAAGGAAAAAATGACAAAGAACACTGAGAGCAAAAAATAAATGTATGGCTCCAAGTGATTCCATCCAAAGTTCACCTCAGCTTGCTCAACATCTAGGTTTGGCTCAAAACGAAGCAGTAAGTCAGTCAAAGTGCGGAAATTTTCCCAGGCCTTACTATCCTGAAAAACCTTCAGTGTGCAAATTACCATAGAAATGAAGGACAGATAGAATATGACTAATGGAATAATGAAGGCAAAAAAATCAATTGTCAGATTACTGATAATGAAGAAAAAGATGAGAGCATTGATATGGTGGGTTGGAACA